ATTTAATTGTATTTAAAACAAAATATTGTTTGTGCCCATTTCAAAAGAGTTAGGACAGGGGCTTGTTTATATCTACAATTCACTTCTTTGAAAAACCTTGCATAAGCATCACAGGCAAGAGATTTAACTCGTACTATATTTTTTATTACAGATACATGCTGCTGCAGCATGTGCAGAATCTGGTTTGACATTGTCGTTCAGAAATAAGCAAGCCTCATCTGTAGGGTACCATATGACACTCCTAAATCTGTATATAATGCAGTTTACACCCAGAATATGATATTATTTTAATGCAGTGTTATCCAAGGGCCTTAAGATTACAACCCTTCTGTATTGGTTTTCACCCATATCACTTGTATGTGGACAGATTTTTAAAGATTTTACATACCACAGCTGAAATCTACTGAAATCTAGACATTTAGACATTTTATTTTATTTTTTATTTTCCTAAAATCTCAAAGCATTTACCCAGCTTTTTTACAATGTTTGTCTTGCATCCAATTTCAACTGAAAAACATTTTTGCATTTTATCTTTGTTGTGCTATTAATTCAATGTAGGGATTTGCCAGTCATTTGGTTAGGTTTTTTTTTTTTTAGCATTTACCACAGCCTTCTTGCTTCTTTGGAAACATGGCTGGAAAAAAGCTGAATGCAGACTATAAAATGCAGATATTTTCATCAACAGTAAAATGTATTCGGTCTGAACCAGCTGGTGCAGATGTCATGAGATGCCAAAATCTAACGAAAGCAATAGTTGTGGAAGACAAGTTGTGATAAATCCACGAAGACTAGTTCTGAAGACTGATTGCATTACTTCACATCTCGAACAGCAGTTATAGGATGAATCATGGCTCTGTTGTACTGTTGATTGTTTCACACTGAAGCATCACTGGGATTTAACATCTGAGGAATCCTGCCACTAACACTTTAGTGTAATCCAGCGTGTGTGTGCATACATTACTGAATGAGTAGGAGCAAAAGTCTGTTCACTCACAGTCACTCACTGAGGAGGACTGACCTCAAGTATACAGACAAGTAGCCCCTTTGAAGGTAATAACTTGTGGTTCACTTTTAGATTACTCTCAAGCTGAACAACTCGTTCGCTTTTTGTTTCTTGAAGTGCAGCTGGTAATGAGTAATGCAAAATCCCAACTTGGCTGAACATCACAGCTCTGTGGAGCATCATTTTCAGTTTACGGAGTGACTTTAACTGCTTAATGCTGTTGTGTTCATTCACATCAGGTTCCCGTTTTTTGTGAAAAACCTCTGATCAAGTTACCGTTCAAGCAATTTTACCACTCAATGTAAGGTTTATGACACAGCTGCCTGAAATTAACACCATTGTTAATTATTGAAATAATTTTTTTATGTTTCTGTATGCCAAATTACAGCTATTTGCTTGCACTCCTGAACAGGAAGAAGTGGAGGAAATTTGATTAATTTCATAGAAATCCAGTGTGCCTGCTCAAATGTGGGTATAAAAACATGAATTCAGTTGTGTTTTTTTACTAATATATAACAATATGATTTACAGTTTTAAACAAGTTTTTGACAGATTTCTAAAACATTTGTTGCAGAAATTTAACAAATGATGGGTTGTTAAGAACGCTAACTTGGACAAAACAATAACTGACTGACAAGACTTGTAAAGGATTACTATCTCATAATATAAATGCTAGAATCTATTTATTAATCAACCAACAGGAATACCACATGAGAGGTACCCTGACACTCATGTTGGTGTGAAAAAACAAAGCAAGCCCAAACCCAAAAGCTCATACACTGCATATGCTAAACAAGAAAGAAAATCTCATTTAGTTTGGCCAGCAGACGCCTTGTTTGTAGAATATGTCTTCCAGCTGTTATCATGGCTGCATCAAGAGGAGATATTACAGGGATAGAGAAACTGCATCCATGCATGCTAGCCTACAATTTAATAAGTATTATCATCTCTCAGTCTACTTACATAAAACTTGATGTTGTGTACGCAGATTTGTTATCCATGCTGGACAGCGTGGCCTGCAATAAACTTATAAGACTTCTGAAATCTGACAGTCAGATGGTGCCTTAAAAAGTAGGTTAATATGAGTTTAAGGACAGAGCTGGGATAAAGGTGTGTGTGTGCAGTTGTGTGAGTGTGTATTGAAGAAGTAATCGGGTATATTTACTATTTTCTAAATAGACACTTGTTAAGTTTTGTAACAGGATCTTACACCGGTTGTGATGCTATCGTGTTGGGAAAACTGTCAGCGTACTCAAAACCTCTTTTGTGACAACGGCCATAATAAAACATCAATAAGTGAAAGACATAATAAGATAATTTATCATGTAGATAAATCTTTAAACATTTGATAAAGTTACAAATACACTCAAAATTTAAAAACAATGTGAAGTGTCCCTTTGTAAAATAAAATGTCCCCTTACTCAAAATTTATGGATGCTGTCAGTGCTCTCTGCCAGCTCATATTCGACCTGTAA